TCATCTATCTATCTATCATCTATCTATCGTCTAACATCTATCTATCTATCTATCATCTATCTATCATCTTCTATCTATCTATCATCTATCATCTATCTATCTATCTATCTATCTATGTATCTATCATCTATATCTATCTATCTATCTATCATCTATTATCTATCTATCTACCTATCATCTATCTATCTATCTATCATCTATCCATCTTCTATATATCATATTCCAATATCCATCTTCGGGTTTGTTTTGTTTCTTATTTTTTGAGACATGATCTTATGTAGCCTGCGCTGACTTTGAACTTTCTATGTAGGTAAGGCTGGTCTTGAACTTCTGATCCTCCTGCCTCCACCTCTCAAGTGCTGGGATTACAAGCTTGCCCCACCATGCCTGGTTGATGCAGTGCTGGGGAATCGTATATGGGGCTTTGTGCATGTTAGGTAGTTCCTCTACCAACGGAGCCGTATCCCCGGTCCCTGACTTTGTTTTTCATTAACACAGGTGAAAGTGCTAAATCAATGGACAGGCAGGGACTCTAAATTTGTGGAGAAGTAGGGATCCCTTGAGAATCAAATAAAAGCTATAAACCTCCAGGGGGAGAAATATATCCATACTCACAAAATTCTGTACACAATTTCAGGGGCTTCACGGACACGCACAGTAGCTCTTCCAGGACCCTTTAGATGTGCAGTTTTGAATCTCAGCCGTAGAACATCCCGTTGCTCAGGCATCTCTTTCCTTGTACAAATCAGAGACAAAGTAGGTATAGACAGACATTGGCTCAGCCTGCCTCAGGGAGACCAGGAAGAACAGCGCCCGAAATGGACCACCTGACTCTCCAGAGCTGGAATATTTCCACTTCACCCTGAATGAGGACATTCCAGAAATGCTGATCATCTCTTCCTGGTACAGCAGGAAGAAGAGCCACCGCAGCCTCTCTGTTCCTCTCCACACAAAGGCCCCAGCTGTAGCTGATGACAAACAGCAGGGGAGAGGACTCCAGGGACTGCAGGCTGCATGTGATGGGGGAGGGGGGGCGGTGCTCCAGGGTAGGAACTGCAGAGGACAGATCCACTCACTCCCGACTACATTCATTCATCCATTCACTCATTCCCTCACTTGCCCATTCAGCATCCCTGGACAGAGACCTCCCATCTACTAGCTCGGCAGCGGAGGATGCTGAAGTAAGTCAGACTTGTGCCTGCCTGGACAGCCCCTGTTTTGCTGGGTAAGATAGATAGACCCCCAGCCAACCACCAGGTGGGGCACCTGGATGCTGGCGGAGACAATGCAGGGCATGATGGAAGCGTAGACAGCCCTCACACAGGCTACAGAGGTCAGGAAGGGCTTCTTGGAAGGAGGAGCACTGGAGTTCAATCCCTCCCTCTCTTATTGTCTTCCTGATTTTAATGTTAAAAAACACATTTACTGGGGGCTGGAGAAATGACTCAGCAGTTAAGAACACTGGCTTAGTTCCCAGCACCCACGTGATGGCTAACAACCGTCTCTAACTCCAGTTCCAGGGGATCTTACACCCTCTTCTGGCCTCTGAGGATACTGCACACCTGTGATGTGCTGGCGTTCATGCAGGCAAAACACACACATTAAAAAAATAATTAAAACAAAAATACATGTACTTATGAACGAGAGAGCAGTGTAGATGTCATGCCGTGAGTGTTGAGGACAGAGGACAACTTTTGGGAGTCAGATCTTGGGGACAGAACTCAGGTTGTTAGGCTTGGGCGGTAAGAGCATTTACCCACTGAGGCATCTCACCAGCCTTATCTTAGTTTTGAGACAAAGATTTACATAGGCCAGTCTGGCCTTGAATTCACTATGTAGCCTTAAAACCTTTTTTCTCTTTTTTGAGACTGACTATCATTATGTAGCTCTGGCTGGCCTGGAACTCACTATGCAGACCAGGCTGGCCTCGGACTCTGAGATCCTCCTGCCTCTGCCTCCTAAGTGCTGGGATTAAAGGTGCAAGCTGCTATGCCCAGCCTACCCTCAGATCCTTGCTTTTCTTGCCTGTATTCTCTCGAGTGTTGGAGTTTAGAGTTATAGGTATGTGCCATCATCCGGTTTCATTAGGCGTTGGAGATTGAACTCAGGGTTTTGTACATGCTCAGCAAGCACTCTACCAACTGAGCTACATTCCTAGCCATTTTAATTTATTATTATTATTTACATATATGATGTGCGCATGGGAGTGCACATGTCAAAGTGCAAAAATGGAGGTCAGAGGACAACTTTGTGGAGCTGTTTCTTTCCTTTCATCTTTTTTTTTTTCCAATGTGTATTTTAAATTTAACTTTTGTGTATTTCATGCAAAACATCTTAATCATCTTGACACCCCTCCCCCATTGGCACCCCCATACCCCACACACCGGGTTTCATGCATTCTGTCATATATGTTAAGGCCTATTTGGTCAAGCATTTGTACTCAGATGTACCTCAGTGCTTGTTCATCCACTGGAGTCTAGTCAGCCTGTGTAGACTCTCTCACTTAAAGATCATCTCTCCCTCACCCAGCAGTGATCAGCTGCCAATAGTTCTTTGGCTAAGGTTGGGGTCTGCTGCCCATTTCCCCAATTCTATACTGGTCAGACAGCATGTCTCCATCCATCTTTATGTGGGTTCTGGGGATTGAACTGAGTTCATCAGGCTTGGGTCATGGGGGTGGGTGGTGAGTGCCTTTACTTCCTGAACTATCACACCAGCCCATTTGTTTGTTTTTGAGACAGGGTCTCATGTGGCCCAAGCTGACCTAGACTTTGCTCTGCAACTGGGACTGGCCTTGAACTCCTCAGTCTCCTGTCTCTACCTCCCAAGTGCTGAGATTACAGGCATGCACCATTACAGAGCATGAGGTTGAATCTCTGAGTGGATGGAAAGGGGATCAAAGAGGTAATTCAGCAGCTAAGGGTATTTCCTGCTCTTCCAGAGGACCATTGATTCTCAGCCACTTCCCACTCCTTCCTGGACCACCATTAGCTCTAGAGGGTTCATTGCCATCTTCTGGCCTCTGCAAGCAACAGCACTCAGAGGCAACTGCACATTGCACCCCCATACATGTAATTTAATAATAATAATAATAATAGTAATAATAATAATATAACAGAGTGGATGGGAGGTGAGAGGGTTCAGTGGGAAAAGGTATTTGCTACTAAGCCTGACAATCTGAGTTTGATCCCTGGAACCCACATGGTGGAAAGAGCTGATTCTTGATAATTATCCTCTGACCTCTACATTAGTGCCTTGGCATGCTTGAGCACACTTACAATCAATCAATCAATCAATCAATCAATCAATCAATAACAGAGTGGATGGGAGGTGAGAGGGTTCAGTGGGAAAAGGTATTTGCTACTAAGCCTGACAATCTGAGTTTGATCCCTGGAACCCACATGGTGGAAAGAGCTGATTCTTGATAATTATCCTCTGACCTCTACATTAGTGCCTTGGCATGCTTGAGCACACTTACAATCAATCAATCAATCAATCAATCAATCAATCAATCAATCATCAATCAATGTAAAAAAAAAAGTAGGGTCTGAAGAGATAGTTCAGCAGTTAAGAGTGTTGGCTGCCCTTGCAGAGGACCTGGGTTCGGTTTCCAGCACCCACATGGTAGTAACAATCATCCATAACTCCAGTTCCAGGGGATTTGATGCCCTCTTCTGGTCTCTGTGGGCATTGCACAACACGGGTGTATTTATATACATGCAGGCAAAACACTCATATACATAAAGTACAAATAAATAAAAATTTTTTAAATTTTTAAAAGCAAACAACAAAGAACAGATGAAGACTTGCCACCTGAGCAGGCAGAGGTGACAGCAGTGTGAGGACACAGCAGAAGGGATGTCCAGCCATGAGGCTCATGTTCATGGCAAAAGGGCTTCGTTAAGGAGCTTGGATTTTGTCCTGAGGATAACAGTACACCAGCCATTGGAAGAGTTTAAGTGGAGGAGGGACAGGGCAAGCTGTGATGTTACAGAGAGTCTCTGGATATCATGTAGGGATGACACAAAGGGAGGTTAGTGGTGTGGGCTGGTGGCAGAGCCCAGGTAAGAATAGGACAGAGAGAAGGGGATGGAAAGGAAATGGCTCTGAGAGGGAGAAGGGGACTATACAGGAAACCAACTGGGACATGTACATGGACGGACTGGTTGTTGGAAGAGAGCTGGAGGCTTTAAGGAAGCTTTGACACAGTTAAGCTGAGGAGACCCAGTGTGACCTTCACAGTCAATGTGATTTACAGGGTGTGTTAGTCATCTATGGCTGCCTAACAAATTACCACAGGGTATGTATCTTAAAACAACACATACCAATCACCTCATAATTTCCAGGCATCAGGAATCCAGTAGGATACATCTGTGTCTCCTGCTCAGGGTATCTTAGACATGAAACCATGGTGTGGCCTGGCTTGTTCCTATCTAGCGAGGACTCCAAGTTCCTGCACATTAAGCAGAATTCACGTCTCTGTGATTATGAGGCCAAAGTCCTGTTTTCTTGGTACCAATCAAAGTTTGCTGTACCATGGCCCTCAATACATTGACAGTTTGCTTTAAAAAATTATTGTGTGTGTATGTGTATGGTGTGTGGATGATGATGATGATGATGATATGATGATGATGTGACAGATGATGATGATGGGGTGTGTGTGTGTGTGTGTGTGTGTGTGTGCAGGTACAAGTGTGTCACAGTGTACATGTGAAAGTCAAATGAGAACTTTTGGGGAGTCAGTTCTCTCCTATCTTTTTTGTTTTATTTTGTTTTTGTCTTTTTTTTTTTATTCAGGGTCTCCTTGTAGCCCCAGCTGACCTGGAACTCGCTATGTAGACCATGCTGGCCTCAGTCTCACAGAGAGCTGCCTGCCTCTGCCTTCCAAGTGCTGGAATTAAAGGTGTGTTCATATTCAGGTCACCAGATTTGTGCAGCAAGTGCTTTACCCACTGAGTCATCTCACTGGATGATCAACCTTGCTGTTTAAGCAGGATCACCCTTGTTTCTGGCACTGCACAGCACACTCTAGGCCAGTCAGCCCGTGAGTCTCTGGGAGACTCTCCTGTCTCTGTCTCCCATCTCACCATAGGAGTTTTGGCATTATGGATGTGTGCCACCACATGCAGCTTTTTACCTGGGTTCTGGGGATCAAACTAAGGTCTTCAGGCTTGTGTGGCAAATGATTTTACTTGCTGAGCCATCCTACCAGCCCTGACAGTTTGCTTCTCAAAGAACATTGAACTAGAGACATGGCTCAGTTGTTAGGGTACTTGCCTGGCATGCGCCAAAGCCATGGGTTTAATCCATAGCAGTGTATAAACTGAATACAGTGGTATTCACCTGCAATTCCATTATTCAAGAGGTGGAGACAGGAGGATCAGAAATTCAAGACCAGCCTTGTCTATATAGAAAATTCAAGACCAACTTGGGCTACGTGAGACCCTGTCTTTAAAAAGGGGTGGGGGTGGGTGGAGAGATGGCTCAGCACTTAAGAGCACTGGCTGCTCTTGCAGGATCCAGGTTTGATTCCCAGAACCCACATGGGGGCTAACAATACATAACTCCAGTTCCAAGAGCTCTGACTTCAGTTGGCATTGCATGACATGGTTGCACTCACATACATGCAGGCAATACATTCATACCGCATAAAATAAAAATAATAAATTTGGGGGGGTTGGAGAGATGGTTCAGCATTAAGAACACTGGCTGTTCTTACAGAAGACCTGGGTTCAAATCCAAGCACCCACATGGCAGCTAAGAACTGTCTGTAAGTCCAGTTCCAGGGGATTTAACAGCCTCTTCTGTCCTCTGAGGGCATTGCATGACACAGGTGCACTTACCTACATGCAGGCAATACATGCATACACATAAAAATAATAAATAAATAGTATTTAAAAATAATAAAAATTTTAAAGATAAAACAAAAGGCTAAGATTTGCAACATTGTATATTTGTAAATATACAAATAAGCAATTTTAAATAAAAATGAAACGTATTCTTCTTAGACATCAAAACAAATCAGGACGTAATCTAATCAAGTATCCTTAATACCAAAAAGTTAACCGATGATGTGATGTAAAAATATTGATGCGGAGGAAAGGGAAAAAAATGAGATTCACATGAATTAAATCATTATCTATCAGAGGGAAAATATAGACATTGTATCATGTGGACATAACCAGAAGATAATTATTATTTAGAGATGTCAGGGAAAGAGAAGAAATAATGTAAAACATGTACAGAGCTGGAGAGATGGCTCAGCCGTTCAGCCTGTTTGCCGCACAGTCACAAGGACCACAGTTCAGATCTCAACTCCCACACAACAAATGGGTGTCCCACATACTCCTGTAACCCCAGCTCAGAGGCAGGCAGACACAGGAGGGACTTGCTAACTTCCAGAGACAATGTGAGCCTCTGACCATCCTCAGAAGAACAAGTAGAGAGTGATAGAGGATGCTCAACACCATCTTCTGGCCTCCACATGTACACTGACATGTATACACACACACACACACACACACACACACACACACACACACACACAGAGGCATGCATTTAAAAAAACAAGTTAAGGGGCTGGAGAGATAGCTCAGCAGTTAAAGAGCCCTGGTTGCTCTTCCAGAGGACCTGGGTTCAGTTCCCAGCACCTACATGGTGACTAACAACTGTTGGTAACTCCAGTTCCAGGGGATCCAGTGCCCTCTTCTGACCTCTACAGGCATTCCACACACATGATGTACTTATATAAGTACCTGCAACACACTCATATATATAATTAAAATAAAAATAAAATATTAAAAAAATTAAAAGTTCCTTTATATAAGGTACAGAATTTGCGGTGGAGTTGGCTTTTGTTATGTTTTTTTTTAAATGCATGCATATAAGTACATCATGTGTGTGCAATGCCTGAGGAAACCAGAAGAGGGCATCAGATCCACTGACACTGGAGTTACAGATGGTTGTGAGCTGTCATGTGGAGCCAGGAACCGAACATAGCAGTCAGTGCTCTTAACTGCTGAGCCATCTCTCCAGCCCTACCATTTGAGTCTTAAAAAATAAAAACAGAGGAGCTGGAGAGCTAGCTCAGCTGTTAAGAACACTTGCTGTTCTTCCAGAGGACCTGTGTTTGATTCCCAGCACCCACATGGTAGCTAGCAACCATCTGTAACTCCAGTTCCAGGGAATCCATCACTCTTCTTCTGGCCTCTGCAGGCATTGCATGCACTTGGTACATTTACACACATTCAGGCAAAAATCACTCATACACATAAAATAAATAAATGAATAAACTATTGAAAATAAAAATAAAAAACTACTAGCAATATTGATTTGCTTAGGAAATAAAGTTTAATTTAAAATAAAAATAAAGTTGGTGTCCCCAGTGGTTAATAAGTTTAATTTAGTGGTTCTCAAGCAGAGGTGATTTTTGTCTCTCCAGGGATGCAGATGGTGTTGGTGTCTGAAGACGTTGGCTGTCAAAACTAGGGAGAGAGTACTGCTCCAGGTGTCTGGTGGGTGCAGCCAGGAGTACTGCTCAGCATCCTGGGGGCATGACAGGGATCCATAACAAAGCATCCCAGCAGGGCCCCATAACATAGCACTGTTATGTCGTCAGGCACATGGAAGCTGGGAAGCCCTAGTTTATTTCACTATCTGATGCCAGCTACTACTGACACTGCTTCTGGGCTATTTGATATACTTTTCTTTTTCCACCTCAGTGTTGGCAGCTTTAAAATGGGGCCTAAATTAGCCGGGCATGGTGGTGCACGCCTTTAATCCCAGCACTCAGGGGGCAGAGGCAGGCAGATCTCTGTGAGTTCAAGGCCTGCCTGGTCTACAGAGTGAGTTAGTTCTAGGACAGCTGGGGCTACAGGGAGACCCTATCTCAAAAAGACAAAAAAAAAAAAAAGGCTAAAAAAAAAATGGGGGCTAAGTTGAGCACACCTGCAATCCTAGCACTTAGGAGATACAGGCAGGTGGGTTATAGAATCTTAAGGCCATTGTGGTCTAGATGTAAAAATACACATGCATGTAAGTGCATCATGTGTGTACAAGGCCCAGCTTCCATGCAAGACCCTGTCTCAAAAAAAAAAAAAAAAAGGGAGCGGATGGGCTGGAGAGATGACTCGTGGCTAAGAGCACTGGCTGCTCTTGCAGAGGATGTGGTTCAGTTCCCAGCACCCACACAATGGCTAACAACCATCTGTAACTCCAGTTCCAGAGGATATGATGCCCTCTTCTGACCTCCACAGGTATTGCATGCACACGGCACACTTACATACAATCAGGCAAAACACCCATACACATAAAATAAAAATAAATAAATCCAGGGGCCAGAAAGATGGCTCAGTGGTTAAGAGCACTTGCTTACTTTTCCATACCCTTCCATAAGGCATGAGTTCAGTTCCCAGGACCTACATGGTTGCTAAAACCGTCTGTAACTCCAGTGACATGCAGGCAAAACACTCACACCCAAAATAAAAATAAGTGGATATTTTTTAATCCTTCCCAAAAAATCTTTTTGAAAAGAACTAGTGAGATGGCTGAGCAGGTACATGCAATCTGACTTCAATCTCTGCAACACACATGGTAGAAAGAAAGATGTGATTCCCGCTAGTCCTCTGATCTTCACACACATATTATGGCATACAGGTGCTCCCCCACAAATGCACACAAAATAAATGCAATGTGAATTAATTAACTAAAATTTGTATGGTGGGACACACCTATAATCCCAGAATTCAGGAGATAAAGGCAAAAGACCCAGAAATTCAAGGTCATCTTTACATTCACATAGTGAATTAGTGGCCAGCCTGGGCTACAGGAAACCCTGTCTCAACAAAACAAAGAAATGAGGGCTAAGGAGATAGCTCAGTTACTAAAAGTGTTTACAGTACAAGCACAAAGACCTAAATTCAGATTCATAGAACCTATATAAACAGATGAGCGTGAAGAGCATACCTGTAATCTCAGCACTGGGGAAGAGGAGGCAGGAGGGAGGATCCCTGGGGCCTGCTGGCCATTCAATCTAACAGAATCCTTGCGCTCCGGGCCAGTGAGAGACCCTTGTCTCAAACAATAAGGTGGCGAGCAATCAAGGAAGATGCCCAACACTGAACTCTGGTCTCTTAATTCACACCCCCACACAGGTGCATATGTTCCTGTACACGCATACACACAACAAACAAACAAATAATGGAATAAAATAAAATGGGGGCTAATCTCAGAATTGCTTCTCTCAAAGACAGAGCCAATGCCTGCAAGCTATTGAATCTGCAATATTAAACGCTCGGTTTGTATTGGCTGTCGTCCTGGTATGTTGCCTTTTCCTCGCTCTGGCAGAATCAAAGGGGATGAACAAATACATCAAGAAATAACAAATGGATTTCGGCCCCTTTCTTCTGTTGGGGGCTGTTTCATTTGTTTCTAAACCAGGGACGTTAGAATGTTTTACCAAACTCCCCTCCTTCACTGGGCACAGTGAGAACACACAAACGGAGTTCAAGAGACACCAGGACCCAGTGTGGTGGTGCACACCTTTAATCCCAGCACTCAAGAAGTAGAGGTAGGAGGACCTCTGTGAGCTCCAAGCCAGCCTGGGCTACAAGTTGAGACTGAAAACAATCAAAATGAAATGAAAGAAGGAAAGGGGAAAAAAAGAGAGAAAAGAATAAAGAAATGCTGGTGGGTTTTTGAGAGGCTCGGTATGAAGAGCTACAAAGGACATCAGGTGAATGATGTAGAAAGGAACATGGGTTGTCCGCTGTCAGCTCCCAGGAGGGAGAAATGATCCAGTAAGGATAGGTTTAAAAGACTCTGAGGGTTGGGGAGGTGGCTCAGCCAGTAAAAGCACTTGCCACTAAAGCCTGATGACCTGAGTTCAATCCACAGGGTGGAAAGAGAGAAGCTACTCCTGAAAGTTGTCCTCTGACCCCCACTTACATGCCATGGCCCCCACACATACGCATATCACACACACACACACACACACACACACACACGCACGTATGCACACTAATAGAAATAAAATAGAGTACAAATGACTCTTAAACTCACCCATTGCTGGCTGTTCTCCACTCCCTCGCATTTCCTATGAAGAAGTTGCTTCTAGCTCTGTTGTGTATTCCCTGGGTGATCTTCGATGAATGACCCCACATTGCACAGCCTCAGCTTCCCCACTTCACAGGGTTCTGTAAGATTTCCATAAGATTAAGAAGTATGTAAGTTGCCTAGGGCGAGACAAAGAATAATCATGGCTAGCTAGCTCTTAGGGCTTTTCTTTCTTTCTTTCTTTCTTTCTTTCTTTCTTTCTTTCTTTCTTTCTTTCTCTCTCTCTTTCTCTCTCTCTTTCTTTCTTTCTTTCTTTCTTTCTTTCTTTCTTTCTTTCTTTCTTTTTTCAAATGG